ATTATAACTAGAATTGTGGAATAAATTCTGCAACCGGAATCATGGAAAGAATTAGGCTTGTGTAACGAGGCACCACTGTGTCCATATCTGCATCTATATCTGCATTTGTTATCTATCTTTATCTAATATCTATATCTATATCCCTAACTCCCACCGTGCACATAATTTGTAGCATGCATTATACTCAAATTATGGCCTGTGTTCAGGCTGCCACCTACTTCCTTTTACAGAAACATTATGTAAAAGTCATTACCTTTTGAAAAAAATGATTTGGCCTCTGCTTTATTTTTTATTTATTTATTTTCTTGATACTGGGGATCGAACTCGTGTCCTTGCACTTGCGAGGCAGGCAGCAGAACCACTGAGCTAAATCCCCAGCCTAATTCTGCATTTTCTACTGTGTTTTGTTTTGTTTTGTTTGGCCTCTGCTTTATACTGCACTTTGCCCCCCACCCCCATACTTGCTAGAAGCCATTGCTTTACCAGATGCACACAGAACTGACTCCTGTCATCTGCTTGTGTTCATTGGTAAGAGGTGCTGTAACTGACATTACATTAAATCTCTTCTTAAGGGACATTGAAATTGTTTCTAAACTTACACGAACAATGCTGACATTTTGCATGTGTGCTAGCATATTTGAAAGTAAGTTCTGAGCACGGGGATTGTTGGGTCCAAAGGTATATATGGGCAGATCCAATTTTCACAGATTTTCTAGATTGCCCTCTGTAGGGGTAGTAACAATTTACACTTGAGCCAGAAACTTGTGGAAACATCGATTTCCCCATCCATTTGCCAATCCACTGTGTTATCAAACTTAACTAACTGTTGTAAACCCAGTGTGTAAGAGTTGGTATCACAATTTAGTTTCAAACTGCTTTCCCTTTTAATGAGGGATGTATTTCCTTTTCTGTTAACATTTTCTTTTTAAATCTCTTGCTCACTTTTTCTCCCCCCTCTTAATGGTTTGTAGGAACTGATTATATTCAGGGAAGTAGCCTGGGATATAAGTTAAGTCTTCCTCCCCTCCAAGTTTATTGTTTTGTTTGATTTTGCTTATAATAGTTTATAATATACAGAAACATTTAAAATGACTATATGGGTGAGTATTATTGATCGATTGTATTGGGGATTGAACCCAGTGCCTTCATACTGAGCTGCATCTCCACCTCTTTTTAAATTTTTAAAATTTTATTTTGAGGTAGGGTCTCACTTACTAAATTGCTCAGGCTAGGCTCAAACTTGTGATCCTCCTAGGCTCAAACTTGTGATCCTCCTGCCTCAGCCTCCCAGAGTGCTGAGATTACTCTAGGAGTGCACCACCATACCCAGCTGAACTTACCCATTTTTAACCGTCCTCTGAGTTTTGTGTCTTCCCTTTCCATTTGGAAAAATTTTTCCTTTTTCGCTGACTCTTCCTCCTCCTTACTGAAGTCCAGGATGCTTGTGAGGGTCCCTACTGTCCTCTGTGTGTCAGCATTGTCTGCGTTCCCACCTCTCCCTGCAGGGTGGTGGTTGGAGCCCCACAGGAGATCACGGCTGCCAACCAGACAGGTGGCCTCTACCAGTGTGATTACAGCACGGGCAGGTGTGAGCCTGTCCCCCTGCAGGGTAAGTCACTGTCCTGCTGGGGTCCAGGGCTGGGGGCCCAGCATGGCACTCCTTGTTCTGGGGTTCTGTGGGGGGTGCTCCCTGGGCTCTGCTCTCTGTGGGCTTTGGTAGCCTCTTCCTGCCTTTTCCGTGATTTGGGTGCACCCACATTGCCAGGCTGAAGTAGCCAGCCCCTTTAAGCTGCCCAGTGGACCGCATCTGTCCTTCCTGTCTCCTCAGTCCCCGCGGAGGCCATGAACATGTCCCTGGGCCTGTCCCTGGCAGCTGCCACCAACCCAGCCCAGCTGCTGGTGAGTTGCCCTGGGGTCTCAGCAGGATCCTGAAGGGAGGAGTGGGGCCCTGGGGATACTGGGAGGCAGAGGAGCTGGCAAGAGGGACAGGAGTTGGGCCAGCACCTCGCACTGGCACCCTGCTCCTCAGGCCTGCGGCCCCACTGTGCATCAGACTTGCAAGGAGAACACATATGTCAACGGCCTATGCTTCCTGTTTGATTCCAACCTGCGGCGACAGCCTCAGCGCTTCCCAGAGCCCCTCAGAGGTAGGGCCCCATGGCAGAAACCAGAGGGACAGGGTAGGACCAGGCTGGGCACTGCTCATGGTCTAGGGGTGACTTAGAGGCCTAGGTGCAGACATGTGGGGAAACTGGGGTCTTTTGCACACACAGAGGCCAGGGGTACCTCGAGGAAAGCCCTGACACAGCTACTTACCTCTGGGATGGCCACCAACTGCACAGGCATGGCCCTGTGGTCCTTAGAGCGATGTCAGGATCTCCACCCACAGCCTTCCATGTGGTGGATGGTGCAGCCATGCTGGTCTCTCTCAACGCCCGTCTTTTTTCCTCAAGGCCCCCCTGCCCCTGCACCTCCTTTTGCCGGGAATCACGCGGGATGCCTTGTGTCGTGGTATAAGAGCCATTTTCCTGGCTCACTTTTCTTCAAAGCCTAGCCTACAACCTTGCGCTGTCCTCTCAGCTCAGGTGCCACCGCCCCTCCCGGCAGGGGCCTTTCCTCCGATCATTCCCAGCACTCTACCACACTGCCCTGCTTTACTATCGCTGGATCTGTGCATTTGCACGTTGCTTGTTTCTTATCCATCTTTCCTCTGTAGTGTAGGCTCCATGACAGCAGGAACTTTGGCTAGCTATTCACTGCTACATGTCCTTCTGTCTGTTCTTGCTTGACAACAGCTGAATTTAGCAGTTTAAAACAACAAACATAGTCAGGGGCTAGGGATTTAGCTCAGTGGCACTGTGCCTGCCTTGCAAGCACAAGTTCCTGAGTTTGATCCCCAGTACCAAAAAAAACCAAAAGAAAACAAAACAAAAATGCCAAAACCAAAAACACCCCCAAAGCCTCCCAAAACAAACAAACAAACAAAATAATCAGATGTTGTGGCACATGCCTGTAATCCCAGAACTCTGGGAGACTGAGGTAGGAGGATAGAAAGTTTGAGCCCAGCCTGGCAATTTAGCAAGACCCTGCCTCCAAATAAAAAAATAAAAAAAGGGCTGGAATATAACTCAATAGGAATGCCATGGATTAAATCCTCAGCACCAAAAACCCAAACCAAAATAAAATTACTATTTCAAGATTTCTTTAAATCAGGAAATCAGGAATCTAGGCCTTGCTTAACCACTGCCTCTGCCTCAGAATTTCTCCTGAGATTGAAGTCAAGTTGTCCAATCAGAGCATCGGTTTTAGTTGAAGGCCTGGGCAGAGGAAACAGTTTTCCCTCCTGCTGGTCTCATCGTCTCCCATTGCCTCCCTTTGCCACCAGCCTTCTGGAAAGGGCTCCCTTGCTTTGTCTCTTGCCATTTGCCCCATTTCATGCATCCTCACTCCCTGATGCCTGGCTTCTCTCCACACATTTGTACAGATCTTGCTCTTGGCAGTGGCCGACAATCCCACTAAATGCCAATTCTCTTCTCTGTGTTCAGGTTACTAAGATTTCTGATGTGGACTGCAGTTTGTCTCTTCCTTCTCCACACACTTTGGCCTCAGACCCCTGCTCACTTGCTGCTTCCCCTGCTTGGGGTTTCTCATCCTCATCCCCCAGCACCTTTGTTGGCCTTCTCTACCTAAGAGAAGGTTCTTCTCTTTCTTTTTTTCCTCACTGAGTTTATTGGTACATTTTAGATATACAGTACAGTTACATTTATCGTTGGGATCTTGTACTTTTACATGACAGGTCTTGGTTCTCATTTTTTCCCCTTATCCCTGTCCTCCTTTCACCCCTCTGCACTTTCCTATTTACAAGTACTTTATTTCCATTTTTTCATGTTTGTTTTCTTTTCCCTTATTTCCTTTCCCCCACCCTGCCTACTTCCCCTACACCTTTAGCCCCTTTCTTCCTATTTCACATTGTCAATTATACCATTAGGATCGAGAAGGTACTTCTCTAAGAGGTGGTACTTTATCCCTAAAGCCTTTGCCACCCCAAGTTATTTGGGAGGTAAAGAAGGTCCACTGTCACTCTACAGAGACTGAACTAGTGCAAATCTAGGGATGATTTCTTTAAGAAGCACCCTTCTTCTTCTGTAGCCTTTTCTAAATGGATAGAAAAGGTTCAATCCAGCCTGTAAAGGTGTCAATTAGGACCCGCATCCATTTAAATCCTCCACATGTGGTGGCATGTGGGTAAAGTCTTGTTGCCAGTCCTCTCCAAGGTATGTCCCTCTCCTCTGCACAGGTTCTTATAAAGGAGGAGCTTTGGGCTTGCCCAGGTTGTTGTAGGCACAGAGTAGGCAAACTTTGCAGACCTGATGGGTGGTTGCTACTGATCCTAGTCCTGTGAAAACTTGAGTGGCTATTTCTAGTGTAGCATCTCTTTTCATGTGGAAGGAATTATGAAGTGTTTTTATAGCCATCTACTGCATCCCTTGAGGAAGGACCAGTTTGTTTTCTAAATATCACCAGAGTTCCTTTTAAATTCCTCTTTGTTCTGAACCCATTTATTTCCCTGGGTGTATAGTCTGATTTTAATGGTTCCTCAGGAACTGGAAATAAGGCTAGAGTATTAAGGGCTTATATACAGGGCTTCTTTTGCTTCCCCATCAGAATTTTGATTTCCCAGAGAGATTTTAGACATGTCTCTTTGGTTTCTTTTACAGTGCATGACTGTGACCCGTTTAGGAAAATTGATTGCCTCTAGGAGTTGTAGAATTTCCTACCTGTGCTTGATGGATGGCAGTAAGCCTCTTTTTTTTCAGATGGCTGCATGGATGTGTAGTATCAGGAAGGCATATTTGGAGTGTGTGTAGATGTTTTTTGTTTTGTTTTGTTTTTTGACACAGGGTCTCGCTATGTAGCCCAGGCTGACCTAAAACTCACAGTGATCCTGCCTCAGCCTCCCGTGTGCTGGGATTACAGCCATGTACCACCATGCCAAGCTTTGTAGCTTCTTCTGTTAGGACAGCTGTAGCTTCTACTGCTTTCAGGCAGGGTGGACATCCAGCAGCCACTCCATCTAATTACTTTGAAAACTATCCCATTGTGCAGGGCTCTTGCCCTACCATTTGGGTCAAGCCCCCCAAAGCAATTCCTCCCTTTTTTGACACATAAAGAAAGAAAGGCTTTCTTAAGTCAGGTATTTCCAGTGCTGGAGCCTGAGTAAGGGCCTGCTTTATTTTCTTAAAGGCATTGTCAGTCACTTTTGTCTATTGTAAGGGCAGGCTCTGGGTCTTTGACACTTGCCTCAAATTAGGTAGCCAGATTCTACAGAAGCCAGCCAACCCCAGGAAAGAAAAAAGCCTTCATTTGGTGGCCATAGGCCCAAGATCACAGATAGCCTTGATCCAGTCCCTAGATAAGCTGTTGGTTCCCAGGTGTAAGAATATGCCCTAGATATTGAAAGGATTTCTGAGCCTTTTCTTTGAAAGACTATGTAGCCCTTCTTAGCTAGAAAGTTGAGAGTCTGTACAGTGTTATAGTTAGATAATGTTTAAGTTGGGCTATAAACTAGAAATGTCATCTACATGCTGTAGGGTGGTTCCTTGGTTAAGTTTTAAGTTCCTCAAGTCTTTCTCTAGTGCCTGAGCAAAAACGTAAGGATTGTCTCTAAACCCTCATGGGAGAACTGTCCAGGTATATCACTGCCTTTCTCCTGAAATGGGATTTTCCCATTCAAAGACAAACAGAAATTGGGAGTCTGGATGTAGAGGGATGGAGAAATGTGCATCTTTCAAATCTAAGACTGTGAATGGAATTAACATTAGAAAAAGAAAAAATGGAAACAAAGTCTTTGTAGATAGGGAGGGGTGAAGGGGTTGAAGGGAGGGCAGGGGAATGGGGAAAAAATAAGAACCAAGATGGATTATGTAAAGGTGCAAATTTCCAATGATGAACATCACTACATTGTATACCTTAAATGTACCAATAAAATTTATTAATTAAAAAAAATCTAAGCCTGAGAACCAATTAGTGCCCCCTGGAGTTGGGAGAGAATTGTGTGAGGATCTGCCTCTAGGGGATGGATTAGAAGACAGCTTTGTGAATGAGGCGGAGGGCTTGACAGGGAGAGCATTACAAGGGGAGTGAGAAGTCTTCAGAAGGCTACAGGGAGAAACTTGTCTATGAGAGACTGGAGGCCTTTATGCCTCCTTGACTGGATGCTGCTTTTGGTTAGGAAACTGGCTAGGGTCTTTCAGTTTTATAACCACTGGCATGGCTGAATTTTCCCTCCCACATATTCCATTATACCATGCAGCAGGATCTATTTGTTGGCCAGTTTGGCCAGGGAAACCTTGTGTTGTCTCAATAAGTAAAATCTGTTTTGGCTTTAGCTGGAATTTGAGAATTTCCTCCAGTTTAGCTAGCAAGGGAGTAGGACACTGCAGGACAATTAGAAACTCATGGTTAAACATTTGGCCTTCAAAGTGGCATATCAGAGGAGGAATAAAAAGAATTTTTTGGCTATGGGTCCTCTTGACTATGGCTATAGACCCAGAGGAGGGTTTTCCAAAGAAGGAAGCCAAAATGGAAGGAGCTACTCCGGCATCAATAAGCAGTTAAATTGGCTCAGCATGACATCCAAGTTTACCCATTTCTCCTCAGAGGAGAGGGCAATGTCTGTGGACGGGGCATGCAGGTTCCTCTGGGCCTCTCCAGTCATCAGAGCAGGAAGGGAGGGTTCAGGCTGGCCTGGCCCCTCTCTGCAAGTGGGGCCAGTCAGATCTCCAGTGCCACGCATCAAGCATGTTAACTGCCTTGTGTGGAGCGGGGCCCAGGAGGAAGCTTGGTGTAATCTGGTGCCTATTATTCAGTCTTTTTTTTTTTTTTTTTTTTTTTTTAAAAAAGAACTCAGGACCTTGCACTTGCGAGGCAGGTGGTGGCACCACTGAGCTCAACCCCTGGCCCTCTGGTATTCAGTTTTCTTGCACTCAAAACAGAAACTCTTTCCTCAGTTGTGCCTGGGTTTTTCCTTAGATGACCTGGGTGGGCTTAAAGCATTACCAATTGTGACAGCTATAATCTTAGCCTCTCTTCTTTGTCTCTCTTTTGGGTTCTGATTGTTGGACACAGAAAAAGCTGTGTCCAGCAC